AAAGGATGTTGAATTTTATCAAAGGCCTTTTCTGTATCTATTGAGATAATCATGTGGTTTTTGTCTTTGGTTCGGTTTATGTGATGGATTACGTTTATTGATTTGTGTATGTTGAACCAGCCTCACATCCCAGGGATGAAGCTGACTTATCATGGTGGATAAGCAACACAGTGAGACCCTGTCTCTACACATCATTTTAAAATGAGCCAGGCATGGTGTTGTGCATCTGTAGTCCCAGTTACTTGAGAGGCTAAGGTGGGAAGATCACTTGAGCCGGAAGAGTACAAGGCTGCAGTGAACTATGATTGGGCTATTGTACTTCTGCCTGAGTGACAGAGCAAGACCCTGTCTTGATGATTGATTGATTGGTAGCTAGATGAATGGATGGATGGATGGATAGATGGATGGATGGATAGATAGATAGATAGATAGATAGATAGATAGATAGATAGATAGATAAAGATAGAGAGACAGACAGAGTTAGCAGGTACTGCCTTTCCAAAGAAAGAACATTTACCCTGAAACATAAAGGATGAGAAGGATTCAGCCTGCGAAATGTCTAAGTTTAAGGACTTAGGCTTAGACATTTCTAAGTCTAATTAGTCTAAGGACTAATTTCTAAGTCCTAATTTCTAAGGACTCTTGAGCGGTTAAACAGTCTGTGGACAGCATTAAGTGTTGTGGGAAGTTGTATAGTTGGCCCTTTGTATCCATGGCTTCTGCACTCATGGATTCAACCATCTTCAGATCAAACATATATTTTTAAATTGTGAGAGTACTGACCACATACAGACTTTTTTCTTGTCATTATTTTCTCAGTAATACAGTAGAACAGCTATTCACATAGCATTTACATTGTATTAGCTATTGTAAGTAATCCAGAGATGAAAGTATACAGGAAGATGCGTATAGGTTATGTGCAAATACTATGCCATTTTATATCAGGGACTTGGGCATCTGTAGCTGGATTGGGTTTTAGTATCTGCAGTAGGTCCTGGAACTGATCCTCCACAGATACCAAGGGGCAATTGTACTATATTCTTGGTGTTGCAAAGAGGAACTATGATAGAGAATAGGAAGTAAAGAGTTAGTTGTTTTGACATGAGGCCTCCTAGGTAAGCAGCAGTCCTTGGAAAGGGATTTGTATTTTATTCTAAGAATAATGAAAAATCACTTGAGGAACTTAAAGGATGTATTCTTAAACACTGACCTGCATCTAAATCAGTGATAGGTTCAAAATAAAGATGTCAAGGTTTTTCTCCTCTCAGTTTTAATTCACTTGGTCTTTGACAGTGCCAAGATGGCAGATTTGAAACAAGCTTGTCAAAAATTCTGGCCCGGCCAGGCGTGGTGGCTCAAGCCTGTAATCCCAGCACTTTGGGAGGCCGAGACGGGCGGATCACGAGGTCAGGAGATCGAGACCATCCTGGCTAAC